GATGAGGGTGGCCTTGTGCACAGAAGCCAAGTGACCAGATGGACAGGAGGAGGAGTGGTGGATGCAGCCGAGGGAGCTGGGGACACCTGTGTGAGTCTATGGCCCCAAGGGGGTGTGGGATGGCGTAGCAACCCAACCCTCACCCATACTCACCCACCCCCTCGTAGCCAGGGCTTGGCGCCAGAAGAGCATGTGGGAAGGCAGCAGCCGTTTGCACAGATGGTGCTAGAGACCCAGGTTCTCTTCCTGTGCCAGCCAGTCTGAAGCTAGCCAGGTCTGAGGCCACCTCTTTGGAAGACTGGGAAGATGAGTTCAAATAAGAGGACCCTGGTGACAGGAGGCCCGTGCAGTGGCAGGGCACAGCCAGCAGAGGGCGCCAAAGGAGCTGGAGTGAATTAGCAGCACAGGGTTACAAGGCTCCCATGAGCGCTCTTCTGGGGAGCCCCTGTCCACAGGAGGAGGGGCAGCCCAGTCCTCGGTGGATGGGTCAGAGAGCCCACCCTTAGGGGCTGCAGAAAGTGCAGGAGAGGGTGAACCTCAGTCTGCCCAAAGGGCTAGGGTGCGGATATACACAGAAGGAGGGGAGAGGTGGGTGCAGGCCTCCTTCTGCACCCCACAAGGTGGGATATGGCACCTGGCAGGTGAGGATGACTCCTCCTGCCTCCTCACTTCCACCTCCCAACCTCACCCATGGATTCCGTCTCTTCATTCGCCCACATCCCATCCCCTGGGACATCCTTGGCTCTGCACGGAGGTTCTTGCCTCCCCAGGGCACCCCACCTTCCAAACACCCTCCACCAGGCAATGTGTCTCTCTCCTCCAACCACATTGCTCTCAGTCTTCAAGCCTCTGAAAACTCACTCCTTGCTGCCAAGAAGAAAATCCACTTGTTCCCTGACTGATGAGGCTCTTAATGTGCCCCCATCTCCTCCGCGGGCCAGGGGCAGCAGTATCATAACAACTGCAGGAAGATTAATACTAATGCACCACATGTCTGAGAGTAAAAGCCAAGGCTTTGTGGGGGCTTCCTAAGCGCCTCGTTAAAGCGCTGGCCATCCACTGTCAGGGTCCTCCCGCTCCCATTTCACTGCTGGGGAAACTGTTCCAAGAGGCCTGGATGCACAAGGCCACACGCAGTAAGCTTCAGCGACGGAGTCATATCCACACAGCTGGCCTCCAAGGCTGCTGCCCTCAGCCTTTCCCAGTCCTGCCTCCGGAGACGCCCAACACACTAACTGTGCCCCTCTGAACCCTCCAGACTCCAAACTTGAAAGGCTGAGTCCTCTTCTCGTACCTGCCAGGCACCGTCTGTTCTAAATGCTCCTCCTCATTGTAGCTGGGTTCCCCCCCTGCCACCTGGATATCTTAAGACTAAGGTGCACCTGATCTGGGCTATGGTCTTCACAATTACATGCTATGCATCAGAGAGTTGGATCAGAGAGTGATTAGGGATGATAGAAAGAGAATTGATGCCTTTGAGTTGTGGTGCAGGAGAAGAGTGTTAAATATACCATGGACTGCTAGGAGAAGAAACAGGTTTGTCCTGGAGAGGGTGAAGCCGGAATGCTCCTTGGAGTCAAGGATTCTGAAGCTTCGTCTGACATACTTTGGGCATGTTGCAAGAAGGGACCGACCAGTCCTTGGAGGGGGACATCGTGTTTGGGAGAGTGGAGGGACAGCATAGGAGAGGAAGACCCTCGATGAGATGGATCGATTCTGTGAGTGGAGTGGTGGGAATGAGTATGTTGGAGAGGGTGAGGAGGGCACAGGACAGAGCAGCGTTTAGGGCTCTTGTACATAGGGTCGCAATGAGTCGTAAGCAACTCGATGGCACATAACAACCACCACAACCACCACAACCTGGAAAACTCCTACTCATCCTTCAAAACCCAGCTACAATGTCCCTTCCTCATGGAAGTATTTTCTAGCTTCCCTTTGAGTCAGGGCCATCAGCTTCCTGCTGTGACCTCCCACAATGTCCCCTGCTTGCCTCTATTGGGGAGCTGACCACACAGGGCTTGAAGTTATTTAAGAGATGGAATCTACATGGCTCCCCTGGATGGGCACATTGCTATTACTTCAACTGTTGTGTGTCTGTGGCCACCCTGAGCTCTACACTCTGAGAGCTGGGACCCTACTCCCACAAAAGGACCTGATGTGCATACAACACATGTAAAGTATCTGTGGAAGGAATGAGCTAGAATCAGTAATTCGGGGGGGGGGCGGGCAAAGTGAGGAGGATATATCCCTGAAAGAGCTCTTAAAATGGGGCCAGAGGACAGTGGGGGATGGAGGGGGAAGCTGCACCCCAAACCTGAAGAGTTCCCACCTCCTTGACCTTGACCATGAGACTCCAGAGGCCCAGGTACCCACAGGAGGAACTGGTCCTGGGGAACCAGGCTGACCAATAAAGAGAAATGAGATGTGACAGAGAGGTGACGGGAACCAAGCTAAAGAGTGGGAGCCTGTCAAGAGCTCACAGCAGCAGGGAATGAACTTGCGGGACGGGGACCTCGGTTGGTTGACAGTTCTGCAAGCTGCTGCATGCACTGAGTGGTGAAGACACAGGCTCTGCAATCAGACCATCAAGGCCCACTGTTTGACCTTGATTTCAACTTTCCCAACCACACAAAGGTACCTGGGAACTCTAGCTTGTTCAAAGTAATGAAAATGAAAGAAAATAAAAAATTCACTTCCTCCGTGTCCGGCCAGCCACGTTTCACATGCTCAACAGTTGCAGAGGGCTAGTGATCACGGCACTGGCTGGCGTAACTACACAACATTCCCATCAGCGCAAAAAATCCTGCTGGCCAACACTGTCCCTTAGCCTCGGGGACAACAGGATTTCTGAGGCCTCTTCTGAGGATCAAGTGAATTATTAGAAGCAAAGTGTTTTGCAGAGGTGTGGGTAAATTAAAGTAATGCTAACAACAATATCTAATGTCAAGTGATGCTTCAAGGGTTTTCCCGTTATCAATTCACTGAATCCTCAAGACAGCCCAAATGAGACCAGTAGTTACTATTCCTCTTTTTTGGAAGCAGGAGTGGCATCCACTTCCTAAATAACACGTCTACAGAAACTTTGATAAATGTCGATAGTTGTAAAGGGGCTTCAGGCCTTTTGTTCATAGGGTCGCTATGAGTCGTGCTTGACTCAAAGGCAATCAACAACAACAACAACATTCCACTTTTATGGATGAGGTAACTGAGGCCCAGATAAATGAAGCAGTTTGCCCAGGGTCACACAGTCAAGTCTCAAAGACTCCCTCTACACCCCCGCTGCCTCACTCTGCAGCCTCCAGTGGAAAGCAGGCTTTATAGTTTATCCCACGCTCATGGCTGGCAGTCATTGCCTGCCTGACCTCGGGACATGCCATTTGGGGATCCCTGCCAGGCCACGAATGGGCACTGATACGGAGCCTCAGGTACTCTACAGTTCATGGAGTTGAGAATCAGAGAGTTTCCACAGATGAAGTTCAGCGGGGATGCTGAGGTGACATCTTAGCGTGTGGGTGCTGGAGGCCTGATGAGACAGAAGGCAGAGCCGTGAGGGCACAGCTGGCCAGTCGGCTAAAGGGGGTGTATGGGTTCCACTGGCCCCTATTCCTGTCTCCTCTGCCCCACCTTGAGTGTGGAGGTGCCCACCAGCCAGGACTCTGGTGGCCTGACCACCTTCCTGCTAGATTGCACTCAAATCTACCTGCTCAGAGACTTTGCCTGAGCACAGGGTGGCTTCAGTGTGCTCCGTCATTCCGCACGCCCGGGCGAAGCACCTGCTATCCGCCAGCACAGAGGCGCGAGGTACTGGCAGACTCAAGTGAGGAATAAAGTCCGGCGCTTGGCTCCCGAGAAGCTTGGAGCCTGGGTGTAGGGTGACCAACATCGAACCATCACACGGACGGCTAAAACAACCAGTTAAAAGGAAAGGCTTCTGGGAAGATAAAGGGGGTGCTTGACAGCACGGCGCCCAAATGCTTCCTCTGGACTGGGCTCCACTGTGCACCCCAGACAGCAGGGAGGCATGTACTGTGCGAAGCGTGGCCGGGAGGACCGGCGTGCTGGAGCCACGGAGCCAGGGTTGGGAGAAGGTTCTGGCTCTGCATAGACCTCTACGGAGGTCTCAAAAAAAAAAACACAAACCAGCCAAGGTTCCACTCCTTGTCCTCAGAAAGACAGGAAGTCATAAGAGGGCTTTAAGCAGCACGTGCCAATTTTGGGGTTGAGGACTGTGGCCATCAAGTGGAAAAAGAATCATACTGGATGTGGGGGGGGACTCATCAGAGGCTGTTGCCGGGTCCAGTAGAGATATGTCGGCCAGAGCAGTCCCTCCCCAGGAAGGAAGGGCTGGACCCAAGGCTGCCCTGGAAAAGCGCTTCAGAAGAGCGCCTAGCTGGAGGCCTTAACTCACAGCTGGCTGACCTTGGACAGGTCACGGAAGGCCCTGCCAATCAGCTTTTGCTGTGGGGGTGGACGGGCCTTCTTGGTTGCAGTGAATGTGCTTTGTAAACAGTCAAGCCCCAGACAAACTTGCTTTATGATCCCAACCCTTAGCTGGGAAGCAGACAAAGGCACCCTGTCCTCAGAGAGCGTGTGCGCGCACGTTTGTGTGTGTGTGTGTGCGCACCCAGAGGGTCTGTGGGGGTGTCAGTAACAGATACACACATCTCTGGAGCAGATAAGATGGGGCAGCTGTGACAACTTGTCCTCTCGCCCCCATCTCCCTGGGGCATCTGCATAAGACAAAGCGGGGAGGTGTGCCCAGGTGAGGACTCCAGCTTACCTGGTGCAGGGCCGTAAGTCCATCCTCATTGCACAAATCAGGGCTGACCTTATTCTTCAGGAAGTAGCGCACTGCAACAGGAAGGGAAATGAGTGAGCTTCCTGTCACGCACGGGCTGTGCAGGTGTGGGGGCCCCAGGTCAGACCCACTCTCTCCAGCCCATGAGCTGCCTCGTTTATTCCGCACAGCAGCCCTGTGAGGCTAGAATCAATACCTTCCCCACTTTACACATGAGGAAACTGAAGAGCAGGCCATGTCTTCGGGCCAGCATTTCCAGGCTGCAGGCGGCATCTCCTGGCTTATCTTGACAATAATAATAGCAAGAGCTAATGAGCACTGAGGGAACTCTGGTGGCTTCGTGGTAACGAACTGTGCCGCCAACACAGAAGGACACAGTTCGAATCCACCCGCTGCTTTGCGGGAGAAAAGATGAGCAATCTCCTCCCGTGCAATTAACCGCCTCTGAAAACCCCTTTCAGGGTTAGCTATGAGTCAGTTCCAACTTGACAAGAACAATGATTACTAAAAACAAAACAAAACACCAAAACCCAATAAGGATTACTGAGCGTTCCCTTTTTGCCATGGACTGAGCCAGATGCCTTATCTTGGCTATGGGGGAGGGGAGCATTCTGACTGTTAAAAGCAGGCACCCCCGAGTCGCGGCCGGGGTTTGCATTTGGACATTCTTCTTTACCGATGTGACTGCAGTCAAGAGAGTTCCCCTCATCTGCAAAATGAAGTGAGCCGTGTCAGGGGCTTACCACAGCGTCTGCCACGTGGTTTGGATGTAAACACCCATTAGGACCACTCTTCCTGACATTTTTATCAACACTGCAGGCCTGCACCCGGGGATGGGCTGCCTGCTTGCCTGGGAGGGTCAAAGGCCCCACCTGGGCCATCCCAAGGCTCGAGAAGGGGTTGGAGGATAGAGACAGACAAAAAGACCTTTGATATCCCTCACTTAGACTTTTATCTAATCAAGTAAAGTGTGAGGAGCCCTGGTGGCACCGTGGTTTGAACCCATTAGCAGCTCCATAGGAGTAAAGACATAGCATTCTGTTTCCCTAAAGATTTAGCCATGGAAATCCTGTGGGACAATTCTCCTACGGGGTCATTGTGATTTGGAATCAGATTGGAAGCACCGAGTTTTGTTGTTGTTGTTGTTTTGTGTGTGTGTGTGTGTGTGTGTGTGTGTGTGTGTGAGAGAGAGAGAGAGAGAGAGAGAGAGAGAGAGAGAGAGAGAGCTAGCCAATGGTCTCAAGTCCCTTCTGCTTACGGCACCCCTTTATTGCCATGCCCCTTCTCTCCGCTCCACGCCCCTCCTCTCCCCACTCAGGCCTTTTCCCTCACCCTGAACCCAAGTGCAAAGGAGGACAGAGCACAAAGGAGGAACAAGGACTCCAAGTGCGAAGGGACAGAAGGAAGGAGGGACTAGCAGGCCCCAGGCCTTGTGGTCCCATCCTCAGTCTTATCACCTGGGACCCCTGAGTGTTAGAGCTGCCCAGTCAATGCAGTAACCACCCACCACAAGTGACCACTTCAATGCCCAGAGATGCCAATTAAAACCTTGGTTCTTATGTGACTACTGAGCCCTTGAGAGGTCACACTCTAGTTACCTCTCAAGTACGCAGGAGTCACCTGAGCCTCCTATGTTGGAAAAGGCAGAAATGAAACATCTTGGGGGCGGGGATCCCTTAGTGCCACCAAGAGTGGGTGTGACTTGTTGGACCTGGGCCCCAGCACGAGGAAACTCTTTGACACAGAACACAAGGGGTCTCTGGGGAAGGCTGGGTCTCCAGATGTGGATAGCAACAGGGACTACCCCTCCACACCGACAGAGAGACAGAGGGGCATTCCCTGCAGCTTGTGTCCTGAACTTGAACTTCTTGATTACAAATCTGTTTGCTAAAGGAAAAAAAAAGTCAGAGAGAAGACACCTTCACAGGAAGTTCTAATGATCAGCAGTGCTTTGGAACATTCTAGATGGAAATGAATCTCATTACAAGCTCCCTAAAGCCCTTCCCTGGCTCCCGACTGCTCTGGGAATAAAGCTCAAAGCCCCTACTGTGGCCCTACGCATGACGTGATCCCTGCCTGCAGGCCACCACCCTGTACAGGGGTCACCATTCCCATCGTGACCTGTGACACCAGCCTCCCGAGGAACTATCCAGTGCCCACCTTGCTCAGCTGTGCACAGCGGTCCCTGCTGCCCACTGCTGCAGCCTCGCTTCCTGAATTCTTACCACCTTCCACAGGGGCCTCTGCTTGGCCTACACAGCCACCCCACTTCTTCCAGCCCCTGAGCTTTTGTGGGGTGGTTGCTGATGAGAACATACACCGCAGAACACCCACCAATCCATTTCCCACAATGTTTACAACACTGACAATTTATGACACTTTTCAAGTTGTGCGCCCTTTCTCACTCCCCTTTTCCAAATCGTTCCTCCTCCACTACCATAAACTCACTGCCCCCTTATTTTCCTATCTAATCTTTCCAGTTGGTAGTATCTGTTGATATAACTGGCTATGATCTCATATTGACAATCTTTAAAAGAACACGGTGTCCAAGGCAAATGCTTTTTATGCTAAACTCATTATGTTGAACTATTGTTTGGAGAAGACTCCACGGGATATTATTAAGTTTCAAGATTACCTCAAAGGAACAGTTTTGGGGTTCGCCCAGCCTCACTTGCTCCAGAAAGCAGGGAGGGAGAAGCTTCGCCCCTTAAACTTTGGACTCGTTGCTAGAGAGGCCATTCCTTGGAAAGGGATATCATGCTTGGTAAGGTGAGGGGTCATAGAAAGAGAGGAAGACCCCCAATGAGATGGACCAACACGGTGACCGCAGCAATGGGCTCAAGTGTACCAGAGATGAGGAGGACGGCACAGAGTAGGTCAGAATTTAGGCCTGTTGTTCACAGGTCACTATGAGTTGTACTTGACTCGATGGCACCCAACAGCAAAAAGCGTTTGCATAATATGTTTCCAGTCCCTCTAAGATTCAGTCACTTGTCCACCCATGAATCTCTGCAGTCATCCATGCATCTATCTATCTATCTATCTATCCATACATTTTCAACACATGTTGTCGTTAGGTACCATCAGGTCAACTGTGACTCACAGTGACCCTGTGAACAGCGTGTCTGAACTTTACCATGTCCTATGCCGTCCTCACCAGTTCTGACACCAGAGCCAATTGTTAGAGTCTCTGTATCAAATCATCTTGTTGTAGCAGATATATATATATACACACACTCATGTTTACTGCTGCTTTGTTCACAACAGCAAAGAGTTGGAAACAACCCGAGTGCCCTTGAATAAACGAATGGCTAGAGAAACTGTGGTATATTCACACAATGGAATACTATGCTGCATTGAAAAACAAGGAACTCATGAAATATTATTCAAAATGGGTGACCCTGGAGACATTATGCTGAGTGAAATATCTCAGTCACAAAAGGACAAATGCTGCACGGTGCCACTGTTGTAAAGCAGGACTGATACTGGGGTTGGGGTGAAACTAGGAGGGGATAAATAGTGTATACTGCATTGAAACAGATGAGGGAGAGAACTGCTTAGAAGGAATATATGATTAGGTATTACTGTGATGACAAGGGTCCAGAATGAAAGCTGCACAGTGGAGTGGACTCGGGCAGGGGGGGAGGATTGTATAACAATGAAGAACTTATTTTTTTACTTTTTAAATAGAAAAGCAAACTGGGGATGGGGCAGGGAGTTAAGTGTGCAACAATGAATAAATGGAAATCCAAAGTCTCTGTAAACTTTCATTAAAATAATTTTTTTTTAAAAAAGGAAACTGTCAAAAAAATCATCTTGTTGTGGGTCTCTCTTTTTCACAATGACCCTTCACCTTCCCAAGCATGATGTCTTTCTCCAAGGACTGGCCTCTGCGAACAACATGTCCAAAATACATGAGAATGAGTTTCACCATCCTTAGCTCCAAGGAGCACCTTGGTTTCTCGTTCTCTAAGAAGGACTTGTTTGTTCTCTTGGCAGTCCATGGGATGGATAATCAGTACTTTTCTCCAACACAACTCAAAGGAATCAGTTCTTCTCTGTCATTCTTAGTCATCTAACTTCCAGATGCATAGCAAGCAATTGAGAAGACCATGGCTTGGATCAGGCACACCTTAAGTCTTTAAAGTGACATCATTGCTCTTTTACTACTCTCTGGGGAGGTCCCTGACAGCAGATTTTCCTGGTACAACTTCTCTTTTGATTTCCCGACTACTGTTACCAAAAATGTTAGCTGTGGATCCAAGGAGGGTGAAATCATTGACAACTTGAATCTTTCCTCCATCTATCATGATGCCTATTGACTTTGTGGTGAGATTTTTTTTGTCTTCTTGATCTTGAGAAGTAACCTATACTGTTGTTGAGCTTCTGCAGCAACTGCTTCAAACCCTCTCACTTTCAGTGAGTAAGGCTGTATCAGGTGTTTAAGGCAGGTTGTGGGATGAGTCTTTCTCCAGTCCTGATGCTATATTCTTTTTTATAAAGTCCAGCTTTAAAAAGACCAAGATCATCTGAAGTACAATACTGTGAGCAACAGGATACTATCCATATGCATACAAGGACAACCTGTGGGTACAACTATTGTTCTTCAGCGCGCGCACGCACACACACGCTGTTGCTATTCATTCCTTATCCTTTAGGTCTCAAACATCAAAATCCTCTGACTCCCTAGAACATACCCCCTGATGTGAACATCTCATTTGCAGCCTTATCACAATTAAAATTACGTAACTATCTTGAAAATCATGAGCTCTGATTCTGCCTTAAGCCCTAAGAGGGCAGGACAGTCGTGAGTGCCTTGGTATACTTACTGTTCTAGATACAAGGTCTAGAACCTCAAGAACTCATCTAAGACTTTAAACAAATTATCAACATGATGGCTTCATTACAAGGGCCATGAAGACAACATCAAGATGTCTTTGTTTCCGAGCAAGGTAGACACTCACTCCAATAGTGACCCGTTCATTGTGCATGTCTGCAGCATGCAGGTCCCTCTTCCATGGACCATGTGAGATATTATAGCAGAACCACTGAC